GACCCTAAATCCCTAGCATGATTTACTAGGAACCATACCCATCCTGGCAAATTCCAACACCATATGGGAAACTGCACACACACATATTTCTGACTTTGATTCTGGAGGTGTGCCAACCCAATGTAAAAGACTGTCAGTTTAGGGGTACTGTACCCATCCTGACAGATTCCAACAAAACATGTCGTTGGGGTTTGATGGGTTGAGTTCTGTTATGGTTAAAGCTATAAATAAGTCCAATGAGTTTAGGAATTCAAGCATCAGGAATTTACAACATTTTCTGAGTGAACCATGGTAGTTTAACCACATGTGCAAACATTGATCAGCTTATTACTGTTTAAAAGGAACAAATGTGTGCTTGGTCGGTTTTAATCCGAGCCGAAAGTGCGATAATTATCAGCACCCAGACTCCAACCAGTTTTAAACAGAGTGATTAATACCGACCAAGCACATATTTATTCCCATTCATAAATACTTTTTGGTCAAAAAACCCTGCTTTTGTTCACAAAAATTCACTTCATGTTTTTTAAACACCCCTTTTTCATCTATAGCTAAATAATGGAGTGTCCAGCCTGCAAGTAAGATGTACACAACTCCTTTTATGGAGATTGGCGCGCGCATTCGTGGTACTGCGTGATGTCGCGCAGAACACACCTGAAGATTGCGTTGTTAATTTAGGACTTCTTCTTCTGTCGTACATGTATGTCCTTAGACTTGCAGCTCTGTCAGGGTGAGCCAGGCCAGTGTGTCATCCTCCAGGTTGATCAGGCGGCCGGTGTTTTGGGCAGGCGGTGATGATGTGGTCTACTGTCTGGATTGGTTCTCTGCAGTCGCAGGAAGTGCTGTCTGCCAGTCCCCAGCTTTTCATGGATGCACCATAACGTCCGACTCCAGCCCTCGGACGGTTGAGGGTCGTCCACTGCTTTCGTGGGAGGTCTTGACCAGACATAGGGTCGTTTATGAAGTGGTGTAGCCTAGGTAGTTCTGCTGAGGTCTACCGGACTCTCCAGCTGGTTTTTACCCAGGCGGCCTTAGAGACGTCTGCCGATGTCGTGAGCAGCTTGTGGGCATGCGTGGCAAACAGCCTGGAGCCTTGCCGGTCTTTAGCCGTTGGATGGCCAACTGGAGTTTGTGTGCCGTGAAGTCGCCTGAAAGGTTTTGATCACACCCCTGCGCATGGTGTAGCTCCTTGACTCTCGCCGACGTGGCTCTAGTAAAGTTCTTGTCCACGTAGGGGAAGTGACCCTTGCTCAACAACTGAGATGCGATGGAATTTGCAGTAATTGGACATTGTGTTGGGGTTGTGGACCTACCCGTGAGTTGTTGATGGTTTGCCATGCCCGACAGCTGGAATGGGTGAAATTGATCGATTCCACAGTCTCTGTCCATCTCTGCCTACGTTTCTCGTTTAGCCTACCAAAAAGATCAGTGGCTGCTTCATCCCTGTCTTCGTTGGTCGTTGCTTCTTTATGGGTGCAAAGTAGATCTTCACACTCGCCATCCCAGCAGGGGACGTAGGCCGTGAATGATGCCGTGGACGATGCAGGATCTTCAACACCGCAACATTTTAAGATCTGGGGAGGAATACAGTAGAGGATTGGTTTGGCAATTTTGACAAAAGCTGACAGCCATATGCACTTTGAAAAAAAAAGAAATATGGATCTTTTTATATGGTTCTCTTGCTGTAAGAGGCACAAGTAAGCTATTGACCTGAGTTAGGACTCTTGTTCAGGCAGGCCGGATGCAAAGTTTTTCCTGAGACACAGCCGGCGCTTGGGCATGGCCTGTGACAATTGAGTCTATCAAACACTGGTATCTGCTAAGAATAACCAGCCCAGGTATCTGTCAATTTCATAAAACTTCCACAAATGCCACTATCTTGTCCTGCTGTCCACTACCTTCAACTTATCTTAATTCAACTCACAAACATTTTCACAAACATGGACCACAAGTCATCTTGTAGCATGACTTGTGAAGAGAAAGTGAAAACATTTTCCTTTCAAAACCTAAGACTTATTTCTGGGGATCCAGTCACAAGTATGCGAGCGCTTGGTCTTGTTCCCAAATGCAAACTCACCCCCAAAGTTGATGCCTTTATCCACGTGCTTAACCCTGTAGTGCGCCTTGAGGAGAATCTCATCAGTGAAGAGACTGTCCTGGGAGCAGAATGGACAGTGCAGATGCGGAGCCTTCATCAAGGAGTGGCTACACTCCCTGTCTGTGCATTGTATGGGCGTCCAGTCTGCCTCAGCGCCTTTCATCCGCACTGATGGATGCGCCCACAGTTGCAAAAAAAAAAAACAATTGAGAAAAAATGTCAACAATCAAATTTATATGTATGATGTACAAAATGTAAAAAAAATATGTAAATGTATAAAACAGCAATGCCGATAAAATCAGTAAAAAAAACCCCATTTTCTACTCAATCAAAACCTTCACAGAAATTTTCAAAGTGGAGGGGGGGAACAAATTAGGCCAAATAAAAAAATTAAAAACAAAAACATATTAAGCGTCTCTGCCTGCTTCCTTTTTGGAGGCTGCCTCCTTTCGCTCCTTTTATTTTTTTTCTCTCTTTTTTTAACCATTTTTTTTTTAAATTTTGGCCTCTTGCATTGTATCTGTTGCATCATGGAGCTATAAACACATTTCGATATAAAGCTGGTATGTAATTTTCTGAATTTAATGGCAGCCATTTAAAAAAAACCCCAAATGGCAGCCATCTTGAAAAATAGCCCTGTCGGGCGACCATTTTGGAGGACAGAGAAACAAGGGCCTCCCGCTTCCTTTTTTTTCTTCAAAAAGCAGGACCCTAACTCCCCCTAAGCATGTTCTTTTTGGAATGGAAAGATTCCCGTATCCGGCCACTTGTCAATGTCATCCTGTGCAGAATGAGACTGGTCTGAAAATGTGTGTTTTCTCAGTAAATACCCCAATAAATTCCCTGCTAAATTTGACTTTTAAGGTTGATCGTGAAGTGAAGGGCCCCTGTTTTATTTTGATTGAATTAGAGTCAAAAATATGTTTTTTTTGCTCAAAAATCACCTTTACAATCAAAACAGACTTTTCTCAATTCATTCTAGTGAGACCCATTTTGCAATTCTGAACAGATTCTAGGGGTAGAAAACATGATTTTCCTGCGCGGTTTGTGCCTTGCGATTCAGCACACCGTGCGTGCTCACGGTACATCGCATGATGATCGCCATCTTGATTTTCTGGTCGCATGTTTTTCCCTAAAAAAAAAACCCTGCCCTCTATCTATGACATACCTGTTGATTGAGAATGTCGCCAACTAGTTTGGTAGGTCTAATAATTTTTAAAGGGGAATGTTCCCTTATAGGAACCGGACCCTTCAATTCACGATCGCCCTTTTTAGGACATATTATTATTATCACTTTCTGATGGCTGATAAGTCGTTGAAGGAAAACATTAGTGATGGCCAGATATGGGAATCTTTCCGAAAAAGCCTCCTAGCACTAGCCATAGCGAGCAGCAGCCATTCAGTATTGTGAAGTGTCCGGAAACTGGGCGATTTAATTTTTTTTATTTTTTTTTATATTTATTTTTACGACGAGGTGTCCTACTAAAAAATATAAATAATTTTTCAGAATCTCTTGGGTACCTACCATATGAATAGCCATGTTCAATAACTCCTTTGCCTTGAATAATCACATAAATACATTCTGGGGGAAAATATTAAAGGAATGTACAACATTTGCTTTTGCTGCAATTTTCAGAAATAAATGGATTTGGAGGCTTAGTATGGTATAGCAAATATTGTTAAACTGACTTGTTTCACGTTTTGGGGTTGTAGATGCTGGAAAAACCAAGAAACCCAATCATGTTCTTGTAGTCTGATTCCCTGACTCCACTTAAGATGAAACGGAGCAATTTATAGACTGGGGGGAATTGTAAGTTCAGAGAATCGGTGTAGCTGGCTTGTACCCCTTTACAGGTGTGTAATCAACTGCAAAGAAAATGCGGAATAACTAAATATAAAAAATTAGGAGCAGTTTTTGAAAAAATCCAGTTTTCTCCAACGCTGGTCGGCTGACCAGTGTTGGAAAAATACAGTGTTTCTTGAAAATGTCAGCACACCAGGAGCCACGATTTTACAGGATGCTTCAGACTGTCATTCCTTAACAATCCAGTAAGGTATTTCGTGATAATTTTATCATTTCATTTTTTGATGTTTGCAAATGTTGTATCTTCCCCTTAAGTAAGAGGAAAAACTAGTTTTCAGCGTAAACAGCGCCCTCCAGGAAAAAAAGTGGTTTAAAGGGTTTTTCCAAAATTCGAAGCCAGCTACGGCTTCGTCTGTTATAATAATTTGAAGATTATGAAATTTCCACACAGCTACTCAGAAAGCGTGAGTTGTCTAATAAGAAGAGACAATAGGTGTTATTAGGCTTCCGTTACGGGAGACGTATGCGTCTCGTAAAAAAAAAAAGACGGATGCCAGATCAATGATGAATCTGCGAGTCTGCGATGAAGGGTGCATACCGGTAAATCGATCCGCCAAGCTCATGAATAAAAGTTATACCCTCAAAATATTCTATATTAGAGAGTTATTCTATATTAGAGAGTTCTGAGCGCCGTAAAATTGGGGAATTGAAGAGATATGGTAGTGAACCTCTGGCCCGGACTTGGGGCTTTCAATTCTGAGCATTTTGGATGCTATTGGGCTCGAAAGTGGCGCTATTTTGCCATGTTGTGGAGGGATCGTTTTTCAAGATGGCTACTTTTCCGCTTTGGGGAAAATAGGGGTCGTCTTCTTTGCGTGAAAATATCTCGAAAAGTCAATGGTCAACCCACCATAAATTGAAAAGAAAATGAAAGATGACACATTGATCATCATTTTTCTGTGCAGCTTGAATACCTGTGAGAGTTTTGAGTATTTTTAAAAGAATTTTGAAGTATGGGCATTTAGCACTAGTGTCTATGGGAGTTTATTTGCAGGTATGCACCCTATAGACCGAGGTTTCGAAACGGCTTGCATGCTGCCAATCGAGCGACACATGAGGGCAGCATTCAACAACAACATAAACACGCGACTCGTGTAAATCTGCCGCTACCCGTATTCTTCTGACTCTGGTCTGAGTGGCTGAAAACTTTCTTATTTATTAGTATTACGTCAGTATCAGTACTACAAGTTTGTTTTCATTAAAGGTAACATTAATTTGGTTGTTTTTAATAGCCATTGGTGAAATCTGCATTATTTTATTTAGTGAAATGTACTGCAGAAGTAGCCGTAGACGCACTGCGTTTATAGCGTAACTTGTTATGATGTTTCGTCGTGTGTGTTCGTGAAAAGTTTGAGATGCTTAGTTAAAAAAGGAAAAATGTCCATACTGGGCCACTAATATGACCTGAAAAGAACCAAAAGTTGTAAATCTGATGGAAAAACATTATTAAGGAGTACAAAAATTCTGGATTTTTCCTACAGTAGTTCCGGATTAGCTGGAGTTACCCAGCCCTGAGTTTTATCATTGGGTTGTCTATAAGGGCTGGAGCGAATTTTTCTCGTAACTTGTAGTATTTGCAAAAAAAATTGGAAAATGTTCAATTTTGTCCCCGTTACACACTAATTGCAACTGCAACTCACCCCAAACTTGCCAGGAATAACCATTACACAGGTCCTTGAAGTAAAAAACGATCCACGATGAAGATTCAGCCTACAATTGCAGTGAAAACAGGAGGAATAACCGCTAACCTGACAACCTTTCAGGCATGGCCAGGACTGCTATTGGTTTGTGCACAAAAAAAATTGTGTACAATGAATGGCGGTCGATTAACAGGCACAGAGAGCGATCGCTGTCAACTACTTGTTTTGCCGGCTGCGCTGGCGTTGGCGCGTGACGTCACGCGGAAGCGTAACACCCGATGACTGTTTCATGCACTATTGGTTGCGGTTCCAGTACCAAAGCTGTGATGCGAGTGGTAAACCTTATACTAGTGCATGAAACAGTCATCGGGTGTTACGCTTCCGCGTGACGTCACGCGCCAACGCCAGCGCAGCCGGCAAAAACGAGTAGTTGACAGCGATCGCTCTCTGTGCCTGTTAATCGACCGCCATTCATTGTACACAATTTTTTTTGTGCACAAACCAATAGCAGTCCTGGCCATGCCTGAAAGGTTGTCAGGTTAGCGGTTATTCCTCCTGTTTTCACTGCAATTGTAGGCTGAATCTTCATCGTGGATCGTTTTTTACTTCAAGGACCTGTGTAATGGTTATTCCAGGCAAGTTTGGGGTGAGTTGCAGTTGCAATTAGTGTGTAACGGGGACAAAATTGAACATTTTCCAATTTTTTTTGCAAATACTACAAGTTACGAGAAAAATTCGCTCCAGCCCTTATAGACAACCCAATGATAAAACTCAGGGCTGGGTAACTCCAGCTAGTTCCGGATAGCTTCAAATAAAAACATAACTTTTTTTTGGATTAGTCTCCAAATTGGAGTCCAATATTTTTTTCTGACGAAGTGCATTTTAAAAAGGAAAATGTAAGCTTCTTGATACACGAAGATCTTTTTGATAAAATCTTAGAAGAGAAATTTCTGCCAAATTTTCGACTCGCACTTAGACTTGTTTGAATGGTTTGTAGAAACTCGTGGGAGCTGCTGCAGCGAACTGACGAAAAATGTTCTCCTCGGTACATCACTCGAACCGTGTGATTTTGAATATTTTGTTTATACACTAAAGTCATATAAAATCTTCCATCGAATGTTTACGTGTGTACCTGTTCGTCCCTTATGACCCAACTACACGCGCATTAATGGATTTTGTGTGACGTATTCTGTGTGCTGTGTCAAAATATATTCGGTCTGTGCGTGAGTTCGTGCCGTTACCCAGTGGGCAAAATACGTTGAAATAACGTTGAAACAACGTCAGATTCCGACGTTGAACTAACGTTGAATAATGATTGAATTTGAAAGTTGATCTGACGTTGAAATGATGACGTTGAATCAACGTCAACAGTTCAACGTTGATTTAATGTTGAAAATTTTACGTTGATTCAACGTTGATTAATGATTGAATTTGCAAGGTGATCTGACGTTGTTTTGCTGACGTTTAACCAACGTGGAAAGCACGACGTTGAATCAACGTAGATATTAAAACGTTGATTTAATGTCAGACATTCTACGTTGATTCAACGTTGATTAATGATTGAATTTGCAAGTTGATCTGACGTCATTATGCTGACGTTAAACCAACGTGGAGAGCACGACGTTGAATCAACGTAGATATGTCAACGTTGATTTAATGTCGGAGATTCTACGTTGATTCAGCGTTGATTAATGATTGAATTTGCAAATTGAAGCGACGTGGAAATGTCGATCTCGACATTGAAACAACGTTAAGATCACAACGTTGAGTTAACGTAGACATTTCAACATTGATTTAACGTCGACATCTCTACATTAAAATAGCACTGACATGATGTTCAATCAACGTATAAATAATCAACATTAAATGACATCCTATTCTTAGAAATATCACAGTTAAATAAATGCAATTCTTGAATCAAAATATTTTAAGGTTTGTGTTAAGATTTAAAGCCAGAATGTACTGATAATGGTGGATGTTGGCATTTTTCCAATCGTTCTATGTTAAATAAATTTGCAAGCTGAGGAGTGTTGTTAAATCCATGTCGAAATTGAATAACTTTAAATTTAAATGAAATTCTTTATCAATCACTTTAATTTTTTCCATAAAAAAATGTGTGTATTTATTAATTAACTTCCAACCTTATCAGCTTATACAACACCTTTTAGGTTTCAACAAAGTAGTAATTAATCCATACATAGTAAAATTCAGAATTAGATTGACTTGTTCCAACAGCATTATAGCCTAAACGAGGGTACTACTCTCTAAAAAGATACATGATAATGAATTTGATTCTTTTTTCAAAGAAATGCAGCACTGCCCAGTGCATTTACATCGGAAATATAACACGAATTAACAAGCATACAGGTACAATTTTTAAACGTCTAAATTCACTCTTTTTTTTTCATTTGCATACAATTCATATTAGTTTTCCAAATTTACCTGCAGCACTATTCTATCATATCTATGAATTTTCTTGTGAAATATTGCAAGAGGTTATGCGGCAGACTTGGGCAAGAGCATTAGAAACTATCAAATAGAAAATAATAAAACAAACAGCATCATTCATACAAAATTAATCTAAATGATTCAATTGAACATTTGAACAGGTCAACCAAGAATCAACAGTAATAACTAAATAATGCACAATACATGTACTGTATATAATTATTATAACAGTCCCCCACTTCTCGAACGTGGAAGTTTCAAGATGAAAAGTACAAGATGCGGCAGAGGTTGAATTTCCATCACTTAAAGAGCCTTTACCTGTTACACTTACGGAAAGATACCAGCCACTCCAGAGCAACTTACTGTATTTGAACAATTACTATTAATCAACTGTTCCAATATTGAAATATTTAACACAGTCCAAAGGTACGACTGAATGTGAAGGTGCATGGGCCCTCAGTGTGTCCCTCCATCACCTCTTCTTTCAGGCGCAAACTTGACAGGAGATGAAAAACTCAACAAGCAGCAACATCCATCACCTTGCCCGATTACGAAGTTACTAGACCTCGCTAGAAAAGACAAATAAAAGATAGTGTAATATTTTAGAATTGCAAGCTTCCTCCCCAACCATCTCTTTATTCATTGACACAACCAAATCACCCTCAAAAACGAAAATGTTACAAACACAAACAAAGAGAAATACATACATAAACCATATTAGTTTCAACAAAGCGACAACACGTTTGGTCATCATTTTATGTGCTGACATTGTGTACAAAAAATCAACAGAATGATTCCTTTTATTAAACTTGCACTTATAAAAACTACCACTTGTATTTCCTGACACTTCAGCAATTATCAACCATACAACCAAGTACCCACACAATGAGATTTTAACCAAGATCAATAATTGGTCAAAATAAATTAAATCTGGCGAAGAAAATTAAATTACCTGCGAAACTGAAAAGGTCCGTCTCCTCATCTGCTTTTTTTTCAGTTCCACTCTGCCCATCATTGTTGAACTGTCTTCAATCACTTGGTCATGCACCTGTTGGATGAGAAAAAAAACAACGCTCAGAGACAAAAGCAAAGACCCATCAGGAAAAAAGATAACGGAAGAGTGTAAACAAACACAAGTTATTATACAATGCACTGTGACGAAACTTCTGCCAACACTCAATTAAGATATAGCCACAAATCTGTTTTCATTTTTGCGTTTTGTTAACGTTTTGAATGAACTGGCCATTGTGTCTGTTGTTCGCACAAGTATAAATGGATTTGAATACCACTTTTTTTATGTGCGATGACTGCAATCAGAGCTACATCTCTGCAAGTGTTATTGACTTAAGAATAAAATAATCGGTTTTTGCCATAAAACTTAGCCCTGAATTTTTTTTTTGTCGGCATATACATACCAGCTACGGCACTGCGAGTACTGTCCGAAAGATTTCAAACTGAAGCATCTTCGAAAGTCATACATAACTCCTCCATACTGGTTCGACAATCCATGCTGACTTTGGCTCCTCCTCAATTCCTGTATGAATCATTGCTGAGTGGGGTTTCGTCATCTGTGAGGTCTTGTAAACTCTTCTGGAATTTTGAAAAGGATTTTTTTCTTCAGAAGCTGAAAAAGTGAGATTAACTACCCTACCTGTCCTACCTGCCAAACTTAGACTCTGCATACTCCCCAAAAAATATGCAAACCATGTCTAGTATCTACACAAAACAAAAACAAGTTTATGTAGAAATACCACCTGCCTATGCAATGATTGATTACTTAGGCCAATACATTTACGTAATTACTCACTCCCTGCACCGTGAGTCCATTTTGTTATTGCACCATTCACAGCACAGGCTACAAACAGCGGTATAATTATCCATGCTTGCATTTACCTAAAGTTTTGATACAGAAATTTGTGTTATGCATTCTCACTATTGTCACAGCAACTTTTAGTTTTACACAAAGGATCAAGGAACTACCCAGCAACTTCCTCCGTTTTGTGACTTGTACATGTACAAGAGCACCGGGGTGGTGATAGCAACATGTGAAATCGAAATCGGGAGTGTTTATCCCCCACTTGATAGGCCTATTCCCTATGGAAGATAACCCACCTGGTTTAATAATCAGGGGAAGTAAAACGGTATAATGTACATGACCCACGACCTATCACCGCTGTGTAGCTGTACGAAGAAATCCAGTATGGCAGTAATTGACCTCGAGAAAATATACTGCATTCCATTCTACAATCACTTTTGGACGATCCATTTTTACTTTTTAGCCTGAAAATTACATGAAAACTGAAACTCTACAGTGCAGAAAATCGAATTATATTTTTCCTGGTTATTATTTTTTTTAACCAGGTAGGCTTAAGTACATTTCATCATCATGCATTTCATGTCCATAAGGTCTACCAAGTGAAAAAAAATGCAATTTCTATTTCCTCAGAAACAACTTTTCAATACAAAGGAAATCCAGTAATCGAGCCACATTTATTCATGGTAACAATATCGTCTCGGAAAGTTTAAGTCACACGTCCATTATACTGTACAGTTCAAAACGCCAATGGAGGATTATTTCTCAGGATTTCTCTCACTACTTTCCCATTGAACCCGTTTTAGTACAGCTCAGCAATACACTGTTCCGAGTGCCGGGATGCATGCGGTCGACCTGGTTCCCATACGTACCGGACGCCGGTATCATCAGTGACCATGCATGCCAGTGTCCCCGACCCCAGTGATGTGTCAATATTTGTTTATCGTTTTGGGGAGAAATTGGTTGCAATTAATAAGTAAGTGCTTCGAATAAACGTCAGGTATGTCTAAGCAACATCATAACAATAACTACGAATTTTGATGGCAAAATTCTTACCTGTTATTTGAGTAAAATGATGTCGGCTGCACGCTACACGTCCACACAACTGCAGTATGATGTCGAAATATGTAACGGTCATATGCTTGCGCGCCATATCGTGATTCAAAGAGAGTACATGAAAACTGATTGGCCAGCGTCACAACCTTGGAATGTAGAACAAATTACGCGCCGTGTGATTGGCTAGCGTCACAGCTTTGGCGTGCTGACAAATAATATGTTTTCATAAAAAAGGCCACAAAGTTCAATTAAGTCGGCTATTTTGTTTATATTTCTTGACATAATATTTTGCACTTTGATAAAAATTATACGTTAATTGATACAGCAGGACTGACGTTGAAGTAACCGCGAGGATACTCAATTTCAAAGCAATGCAATATGTTTGATTGCGACGCACTTAATTTCGACATTTTTTCAACTTTGGACTAATTAAAATCCGTATGTTAAACAAAGTTTACCAAACCGACGTTGGTACATTTAGGTCGTTATCACGACGCAATTTTAAGCATTTATCCAACATCAGAATAATGTCAAAATACGTTGGAACAATTACAAAACTGACGATTGATAGACATTGAATTTAACATTGTTAATATCGTGACGCAATTTAAACGCATATTCAACGTCAGATTAATGTTGAAATCTGTACGTTGGAACAACGTTTCCAAACTGACGTTGAATAGACATGGAATTTCGGTTGTCAATATCGTGACGCAATTTAAACTTTTATTCGACGTCAGATTAATGTCGAAATCTGTACGTTGGAACAACGTTACCAAACCGACGTCAGAGAGACGTTAATTTTAGGTTGTTAATATCGCGACGCAATTTTAACATTTATCCAACGTTAGATTAATGTCGAAATATGTACGTTGGAACAACATTACCAAACCGACGTTGAATAGACATTGAGTTTTGGTTAATAATATCGCGACGCAATTTCAACCAACATTTAACGTTGGATTAATGTCGAAATATGGACGTTGAAACAACGTTACAAAACCGACGTTGGCTAGACATTGAATTTAGGTTGATAATATCGCGACGCAATTTCAACCAACATTCAATGTTGGATTAATGTCGAAATATGGACGTTGGAACAACGTTACAAAACCGACGTTGGATAGACATTGAATTTAGGTTGATAATATCGCGACGCAATTTCAACATTTATTCGACGTTGAAACAACGTCAAACTGTAACATAAAATCAACGTCGCAAAAGTGACGTTGAAATAACGTTGTTTTACGGTATTTCGACGTCGTGACGTCATTTCAACCAACATTCAACGTTGAAACAACGTCATGTGCCCACTGGGTACGCTGCAGACAAACGTTTCAAAATCATTTACGTTTTTCTCTTTGTTAAATTTGGTGGAATTCTCTGGAATGAACTATTTTGGAAAAATGAAATAATACTTTATCAGAAAATATGCTTAATTTTGTAAGTTCTGGCTGAAAAAAAATTGATTCGCTCGTGTGATTCTTAAGTAAAATTTGAGGTGGAGATACTAAGTAATGAAAGGTTTGCGGAAACACCATGTGCGAATAATTTCTCAACTAAGAGAATGGTTCTGAAAAGAACCAGAGGTATAAACTCGACGTTCCGACTTAGACTGATGGGTCTCCTATACCCTAGGTCCTCAGCTACCACCTAAGACTGAAGGGTCTCCTATACCCTAGGTCCTCCGTCTACTGACACTGCAACCCTACTGTTTCACTTCAGTGGGCACCAAGCTTGCTCTAGGATCCTGTCTACTTGGCATCCTCACAGGATGCAACTTCACACTTCATTGATTTTGTCTTTTGCTACTTAAGTATTCACTTTCTTAGAGTTTAGGCACTCTCCTGAAGACGGTCAGAACATACTGACCGGAATGTCGAGTGATACCTCTGGTTCTTTTCAGAACCATTCTCTTAGTTGAGAAATTATTCGCACATGGTGTTTCCGCAAACCTTTCATTATTCGTGTGATTCTTTTTTAGCGCAAAGGTTTTTTAGATCCATTCGGAACAGATTGAACCGATCCGGAACTAGGAAAAGTGACATTAGTACTTTTGACGTCGTAAAGCCAAAATAAAAACAACCTACATTTGGAAAATTATTATGTATCTCCATCACTCAAGGTAAACTATTGAACCAATATCACTTGAATTTGTGGAGTAATTGAGCTGAAAGCAGCCTAAATGATGTTTGCTATCCGAAACTAGGAAAACGACTGTAATACGTGTTCTGTCATGGCCCATAGACTTTGTGCAGGAGCTCTGAGTGGTGGCCCAGTATGGATTTTTTTCCGACCACCCCAATTAGTTGGCGACATTGAGAACATATGTAGGGGTAATCCTTATCTTTAGGAAACCTCTATTTTTACGAGTTCTCTTCAAAACTGACTTTTGTACTCCTAGAACTATGATGCTCCGCGTGAGCTGAGCCTCATAGATACAGAACCCGCAAAATTGTTTGCAGCACAAAAGACTAATTAAGTTCAAAAATGTCCATCAAAACACAACATTGGCTGATTGTTTTGTTGTTCAAATGTGGATAACTGTTGTATTGCTAGAAAAAAAGCAATTCAGAAATGAGTATACAGTGTTTATACTTCGGCAAAGGGCAAAACCTAATATTGATTTACATCACCCCAACGCAAAATTCCATCTTATGAATAGTTAGATGCGGTACCCGCTGCTATGTACAATGTACATCAGATTCGAACCAGCCAACCAATCCCGCAAGCTCTGTGTTTTTTTTGTGGTAAGACGTTTGTACTAGAAAGCAGGAGGTCGTGGGTTCAAGTCCAACCCGAGTGATTTTTTCTAACTTTCACTTGGGAGGTAACACACCGAGTATACAGTGTTTATACGTAAGTGAAGGGCAAAACCAAATATTAATTTAGAAAAGAAATCTAATTTTTGGGATGAAACTCGAAAAAAAGCACAGGGAACACAACTTTCAATCCTCCCCCCACCCAACACAAACATTCCATCTTACAAATATTCATCTCCTTTCCTGTTACATTCAGTGCTTGCGATGGATTAACTGATGGAAATCCAATCGTTTGTTTCATCCCTCAGCTGCCAAGAAGATAAGGAGGAGGCATTGAAAGTACTCAACGGACACAAATGGAAAGGACAAGTGCTCAAAGCCAAGGTATTCACTATTAGTCAATTGTGGCTTCATTATTGACACAAGTTTCTGTTGGCACTTGTCACTGGATTTAAATGAATAAGAACTGCCTCAGCATTGGCTATTATATAACAGCCAAGTAAATCCGTGTCATTTGATTGGAGGATTGTAGGTCACGCGGCATTCATTAATCAAACCATTGCATTTTTTGTTCCATTCACTGTGCATTTTCGTCCCATCCCTTTTGATCTATTGCACGCCGCCCGCACGCTAAGTTTCTGTCGGCACTTGTCATTGGATTAAAATGAACAAGAACTGCCTCCGCATTGGCTACCAGTGCAAGGGGTCTAGTGGCTAATATTGCTGTGGTTACAGGTTCATATTCCCGCAATAACTCTTTTCCGTAGCTCGCCAAGTCAGTTGAGGACCCGGACACTAAGAGCCTCGCTCTGAAGAGAAGCCAAGAGGAATCTGATGAAAACACCCAAGAAGCTAAGAGGAGATAGAATGCAGGGTTGGGCTGGATTCAAACCACCAACATAGAAATGTACTGCAGTTCTAAACTCGGATATTGTGGATACAATTGGTGCCATTTGTTTGGATTAAGTATTTTGTATTGGCCTCAAATTTACCCAAACCAGCATCCTGAAATTGTGTCTGCAATATCTCAAAAATGGCTAATAGCAGTTGCACCATTTACTATTACTCAAACTTGGTTAAGACTCTGAAATACTGAGCGCAATTTGTTCATCCTTTTCCAATCTGCAGGTTAAACAACACAGTGACTCCACTACGGAACCAGCTGTATGAGGACCAGCTATCCACCAAACAGACCAACACCAGGGAGTGTCTTGTCTTGATGCATGGCCAGTGTATGGAAGGACGGCAACCGGCATGTCGGGTGTGTTCAGGGTCTGTGACTGGTTCCTATTCGGTAAGAAGTTTTGATGTTTAGGTCTGTTCCCATTGTCTTTTAGCATTGGATCGTTTATGTAGGGGAGTTGTCAGTGTTAATGTCTAGTTCTGCTCTTCACCAATGTAAATTTGAAAGCACTGTATAGGTCTACTAAGTGTTTTCTGGAGATAACTAGAAAAAAAAATCCCCAGCTTTCGTGGGTGGGATTTGCACATGTTTTTACCACTTGATAACCAAGCATATCGAAGTTTGTTGGATAAATATCCCTGACATTGAAGATGATGTGTATATCCTTTGGATTTGATGATTTCTGTCATTGGTGGGATGTGAACCCGAAGCCCCTGCTTATAGAAACTCAGATTGGGACCAACTGTCCCTTGACCTACTGGCAAACTGGGTCTCATGGCATAAACACCAGGGGGTGGGGGGTTCATCCCCACCCCTCCCATGTTTTGACCAGGGTGCCAGGAGATGGGCAATGGCATCATCATGTGTTAAGGAAAAATGCTGCTCGTTGAATCCTGTCAACATGACTTTACAAACAAAAATTGAGAGAAGCAAAGAGTAACCTTAGGCACTCTTAAAAGTAAGTCAAATTTGAAATCGAAGCATTTCCTCTCTTGTTTTTTTTTTTTTGAGCTGAAATCTCTCAGGGATTGATAGCTGGCCTCTTCCCACCTTGTGTGAATATTTGACTTAATTTCGTGAAGTTGGATTTTCACGCCAAGAATTAGTATTTTTGATGACCGCGGATATGGCAAACTTTTTAAGATTTGGGCTATTTCGGCTCAAACCTGAAATGTTTATTTTCTGCCTGCATCCTGACTTAAGTGAGCTGAAATCTCTCAAAAATTTATATCTGGCCTCTTCCCACGTTGTGTGAACATTTGACTTAATTTCGTTAAGTTGGATTTTCAGGCCAAAAAAGAGTATTTTTGATGACCGCAGATATGGAAAACTTTTCAAGATTTGTTCTATTTTGGACAAAAACTGAAATGTTTATTTTCTTCCTTGATCCTCACTTAGCTGAGCTGAAATCCCTCAAGAATTTATATATGGCCTCTTCCCACTTTGTGTGAACATTTAACTTAATTTCGTGAAGTAGGATTTTCAGGCCAAAAATGAGTATTTTCATGACCGCGGATATGGCAAACTTTTCAAGATCAGGGCTATTTCGGCTCAAAACTGAAATGTTTATTTTCTTCCTGGATCCTGACTTTGCTGAGCTGAAATCTCTCAGGGATTCATATCTGGCCTCTTCCCATCTTGTGTGAACATTTGACTTAATTTTGTTAAATTGGATTTTCAGGCCAAAAATGAGTATTGTTGATGACCGTGGATATGGAAAACTTTTCAATTTTTGGGCTAATTCGGCTGAAAACTGAAAGGTTTATTTTCTCCCTCGATCCTGACTTTGGTGAGCTAAAATCTCTAAGGGATTCATATCTGTCCTTTTCCCACCTTGTGTAAATATTTGACTTAATTTCGTGATGTAGGAATTTCAGGCCAAAAATGAGTATTTTTGATGACCGCGGATATGGAAAACTTTTCAAGATTTGGGCTATTTCGGCCGAAAACTGAAATGTTTATTTTCTTCCTGGATCCTGACTTTGGTGAGCCGAAATCTCTCAGGGATTCATATCAGTCCCCTCCCACCTTGTGTGAACATTTGACTTAGTTTCGTGATGTTGGATTTTCATGCCAAAAATAAGTTTTTTGATAACCGCGGATATGGAAAACTGTTCAAGATTTGGGCTATTTGGGCCAAAACTGAAATGTTTATTTTCTTCCTGGATCCTGATTTTGGTGAGCCGAAATCTCTCAGGGATTCATATATGTCCTCTTCCCACCTTGTGTGAACATTTGACTTAATTTTGTGAAGTTGGATTATTAGGCCAAAAATGAGTATTTTTGATGACCGCGGATATGGAAAGCTTTTCAATTTTTGGGCTATTTCGGCCTAAAACTGAATTGTTTTTTTTCTTCCTGGATCCTGACTTTGGTGAGCTGAAATCTCTCAAAGATTCATATCTGTCCTCTTCCCACCTTGTGTGAACATTTGACTTAATTTCATGATGTTGGATTTTCATGCCAAAAATGAGTATTTTTGATGACCGCGGATATGGAAAACTTTCAATTTTTGGGCTATTTCAGCCTAAAACTGAAATGTTTATTTTCTCCCTGGATCCTGACTTTGGTGAGCTGAAATCTCTCAGGGATTTATATCAGTCCTCTTCCCACCTTGTGTGTGAACATTTGACTTAATTTTGTGATGATGGATTTTCATGCCAAATATGAGTTTTTTTTGATGACCGCGGATATGGAAAACTTTTCAAGTTTTGGTTTATTTCGGCCTATAACTGAAATGTTTATTTTCTTCCCATATGGAAAAGTTTCATGGCTAAAGTCTCAAAAAATCAGTTGTGTGTCTATGTGACCATTAGGACACGCCACGCGTGTACTGAATGGGTCAATGCCCAATCATGCATTATGCATAACTCCTATGTTAGCAAGTATGCATGTGTCCAGTACCGAAGAGTCCATTGTGACAAATGGGTAAACCGCAACGCGTAACTCCAATAAACAACAGGTGTTTACACAGGCCTACACATTGGAAACATCATCTTTCTCTATGGCAAAATACGGGACATAGTGAAAAACACAACAATGAAAATAAAGCAACTTGAAAGAAGATACCACATGAATTTTAGCAATACGAAAATCCCAAATAAGTTACGGACACTGCTGGGCTTGCAATCATGCACTTGAATTGACCACGCCGCTGCGTGCGTGCCGAATGGTATTCCCTATATAGTAATGGTACGGACCACCTTCACTGCACTTAACTTCTTCGACGAATTCCTTCAATTTCCTGTGGAAAAACCGTATAAGTTCATGTAGGATGAACACTGCATGTGGCAAAAACATAGTAAGTGCCAATTTCATTTCATATATTTCATATTTTTTCCGTTCAGAGAGCATAAAATACAGCTAATCCAGTCACATCCACCGCGCGGCTAGCTAGAAGCTAGTCAGTGGACATGAAGTCACGCGAATGTTATGCTAATCCCAGCGCTAGGTCACGACGAATACCATTGGATAGCAGAACGATGGGCTTCAAGTTTTCTTTCATTCCGACGACATTTCTCAGCCAATCAAAACGAGTTTTACATATGATATTGGGAGGTAACTAACGCAGAGAATGCCGGAAAACCCGCTGTCATTGCGTAATGCATTGCCGAGTTACAGCTTCGCAAAGTCGCCCCATCTGATGCGTGAGGGTAAAACTGCGTGTGATTACACTGAAAAAGGCCGCTCTGGTCCCTCGTAAAAGCGTTTTTAGAAAGCTGGTCCGACGACATTGAATGCTCTATTCGAATGAAATTTTGGAATTTCGTAGGAAAATATATAGAGATTGGAATGCCGGGCGACCCCGGTTTATAAGTTTTTTCATTTGGCGACTAAAATCATTTTTTCACCGGTGGACCGGATTCGGAGCGACTGCGGCTAACCCGTTTTTTGTGTAACACGGAAACACGTCCATATCGGTGTAGCAAAAGAGACTACTTTTCCATATGGGATCCTGACTGTGGTGAGCTGAAATCTCTCAGGGATTCATATCTGTCCTTTTCCCACCTTGTGTGAACATTTCACCTAATTTCGTGATGTTGGATTTTCTGGCCAAAAATGAGTATTTTTGATGACCGCGGATATGGAAAACTTTTCAATTTTTGGGCTATTTCGGCCGAAAACCGAAATGTTTATTTTCTCCCAGGATCCTGACTTTGGTGAGCAAAAATCTCTCAGGGATTCATATCTGTCCTCTTCCCACCTTGTGTAAACATTTGACTTAATTTCGTGATGTTGGAATTTCCTGCCAAAAATGAGTATTTTTGATGACTGCGGATATGAAAAACTTTTCAAGATTTCGGCTATTTCGGCCGAAAACTGAATTGTTTAATTTGTTCCTGGATCCTGACTTTGGTGAGCTGAAATCTCTCAGGGATTCATATTTGGCTTCTTCCCACCTTGTGCGAACATTTGACCTAATTTCGTGATGTTGGATTTTCAGGCCAAAAATGAGTATTTTTGATGACCGCGGATATGGAAAACTTTTCAAGATTTGGGCTGTTTCGCCCGAAAACTGAAATGATTTTTTTTCCCCTGCATCCTGACTTAGGTGAGCTGAAATCTCTCAGGGATTCATATCTGGCCTCTTCCCGCCTTGTGTGAACTTTTGACTTTATTTGCTGATGTTGGATTTTCATGCCAAAAGTGAGTATTTTTGATGACCGCGGATATGGAAAACTTTTCAAGATTTGGGCTTTTTCGGCCGAAAACTGAATTGTTTATTTTCTTCCTGGATTCTGACTTTGGTGAGCTGAAATCTCTCATGGACTCATATATGTCCTCTTCCGACCTTGTGTGAACATTTGACTTAATTTCGTGATGTTGGATTTTCATGCCAAAAATGAGTATTTTTGATGACCGCGGATATGGAAAACTTTCAATTTTGGATTATTTCGGCCTAAAACTGAAATGTTTATTTTCTTCCTGGATCCTGACTTTGGTGAGCTGAAATCTTTCAGGGATTCATACCTGTCCTCTTCTTACCTTGTGTGAACATTTGACCTAATTTCGTGATGTTGGATTTTCAGGCCAAAAATGAGTATTTCTGATGACCGCTGATATGGAAAACTTTTCAAGATTTGGGGTATTTCAGCCAAAAATTTCAATGTTTATTTTCTTCCTGGATCCTGACTTTGGTGAGCTGAAATCTCTCAGGGATTCATATATGTCCTCTTCCCACCTTGTGTGAACATTTGACCCAATTTCGTGATGTTGGAATTTCAGGCCAAAAATGAGTATTTTTGATGACCGCGGATATCGATAACATTTCAAGATTTGGGCTATTTCGGCCCAAAACTGAAATGTTTATATTTTCTTTCTGGATCCTGACTTTCGTGAGCTGAAATCTCTCAGGGATTCATATCAGTCCTCTTCCTACCTTGTGTGTTAAGGGCCTGTCACATTATATGCGATCTCATAGGAGACCTTATGGCGACCAAAAGTATTTCATAAATTTAACAATCGCAGCGAGTACGCAAGAAAATGACAACTTTCTGTATCAAAGAAGCTCAAGCTACGCTCATACTGTGCTCTCCCCACGCTTACGATGCGCTCAACTCGCTCTCTATGAGCCCCTGTCAAGTTCAATTACTCGATCTAGTCGCTGCCGCTGCGCTGTCACTGCGCTCACACTACGCTCTGCTCGCTGTTGATACGGCCTAGTAGCTCACGTCGCGCTCTCTATTCGTCCAAAATACACTCATGTGACGTCACTTGCGCTGTATAAATACCACGACAAAACGGTCAATACACAGTCCAGTTTAAAAATTATTCTACAAGTTCATCGCAGTCGAGTTACTTTCTCATGGAGACTACATCGACTGTCTTGTGCCTAGGCTGCCTCAATGCCCCTTCAATGTTGCACGATTCACGCTCTCACAGCACCCGAGTTGCGTCATTTGCGGCGCCCTGGCCAGAGCGCAGAGGTGTTGCGATTGTTTTGAGCATGTTCAAAGACCTTGGTGCTCATCAGAGACCATTAAGACCCACCGGCCCCCATCTGGCGACCTATGTAGTTGTCGCTGCGATCTTGTAGTTGTTTTTGCGCCCTAGCTAAGGAAGCAGTAAGAGCGCAGTGAGAATCTCTCAGCTGCTATGATCACTACAAAATAACTAGAAACAGCAACAAACATGTATTTGAATCCCAGGACATACTGTTATTTTGTTTTACCTTTTTGGATTTCCTCAAAAACAAAAACTGTGAACGAACTATTGACCGTTTTATCGTTTTACAGTTTTGTAAAAAGGTCAAACGGTATTAAGTCACACACAAAAAATAGAGCGTTGTTTTACAAAATCATGACAATGACAAAACGGTCAATAGTCTTGCCGACCATTTTTTTGATTTAGGTTCGGCAATTAAGCAATGCACCTAGGAATGTTAATGCATCCTTGGGATTGAGTCATTGCCTGGGCCCTCCTTACATTTTCGTTCTCAGGACAGAATTTGCGAATTACCTATTGAAGAGCCGCGTCGACTTAAACTCCAATTTCCTTCAAAATATCTGCAACTTCGTCAAACGTCTTACCATCCTGTATCCATTGTGAAAAGTAATGCCCTCCCTTGCAGTTTTCCAGCGCCATTTTTTGCTTGCAACTCTTTAAGCCCCACCAACTGAATCGCATGAGAAGGGGGTCAGGGTCCGCGCCAGGAATCACACCACGCATTAATTATGCCGAGCCAACACTCGTGTAAAGCAGGGTCCCCCTCCACCCCCTTGCCCACCGCCACAAAATGCACCACGGACTGTTAACTATGACACTAAAATTAAAAAAACAGTGTGTATTCAATACTGATCATTTTCCTGTTTTTCTAAGTTATTTGTGTAAAACTGGAAAACAAAAATAATCGATCGTGATGCTATAATGAATTTTACTAAACTTATAAAACGGAGAAACCGTAAACTGTAAAACGACAAAACGGTCAATGGTTCGTTTACTGTTTTTGTTTTGGACGAAATCCAAAACCGTAAAACGAAATAACGGTATGTCCCGGGATTTATTTGACACTCTGGAATGCTTTGTACACTTCAGATAACACAATACAAATATATATTGAGTCATAAGGAAGAGCAAGTCAGCCACAGCCAGATTGGATAAGTAGATGTTGATGATTGTACGCATGGACTTCACTCGAATGACTGTGAAGAGAAAGACCAAGTTTAAGAGGAGGCCGATTGGTGCAATGATTTCAGTACTTAACCATAGTATTTGTTAATTTCTTTTGTGAGTCTTGATGAAGTTCTCAAGGTGCTTTTAACTTCATCGTTCTCCATATCCAACATTTTATTCAGATGTAGCAAAGAGTGTTCTGTCCTATTTCAAGATCACTCCAGTTTTATACTAACAGCGAATATAAGACCTGGAGCAATGTGTAGTTGAAACAAAAAGCTTCTGCATTTTTTCCCCTTAAGTGTTTTTTTATCTCTAAGATTTGTAAGGATTAGTTCTTTGTTCCTTGTTTAGAATGCATACTAAACCAAGAAGACAGAGTTTCACAGTTGACTTTGGCATAGATGTGCTTCAGAATAACTTTTTGTTTTCTCTTCAAGACTGTTTTACATGTACATTGTGTAATCCGTCACTAAGGTTTTGCTCAAATCTAGCTTACTTGAAAAAAAGTGATTTCTGCACTTTTTACAGAGTTTTACAGCTCATAAAAGATCACAGACATAACGTAAAGCTTGAATTATCTGTAACTGAATAAAATTAGATGCAGATCAAAAAATGACACAAAATCTTTCAGGTCGTTCACTACATTTTGCTTACAACATATTTATTTATATCTCACATATAGAAACTTGACACAAGCTTTAGATTTGGTGTTTGGATAATCAAGAAAGACATTTAAAATACAGATACAAATAGTCACTGCATCGACAAAGATTTGAAACCATGGAATTCCTACACTCTCTTGCTTGAAATTGAAAGTGTAATTAGACTTCCGCTATCAAATGTTATACTAAGAAATTACCCATGAACTTTCCTTTTTGTTCTTGGCCCAAACTGATGACCAGCTTTGCCAACAGATTGGCTCCCGTCCGTACATTATTGATACTGATTGGGGGGGGGGGACCAGCCTATCCAGCAAGAACAGAAATTATGTTTGGCAACCAATAATTTGGAATTGTAAAGTAATAATTCAATAACTGAACGTGAGCTTTTTGGTGTTTGGTGTTTCATTCAAAAGTGAATAACTTTTGTATTGCTTGAAAAATAGCAGTTTGGTAAAGAAATCTGTTTTTCGGGATGAAACTCGAAAATAGCACGGAACTTTAAGTAAATTTAGTACTTCATTTGGCATTTGTTGAGTAAAACTGTTATGTGGACAGTTTTCCTTGTTTTTTCCCCTAGAGAAGGTACATCATTAAAGGTTGCATGTCTGTGTAGAGTGTGTGTGCGATTCACAGTTTCAGATGGTTCTTATTTTATCTGATAAACTGTCTAAGTTGAACACATTACCCTCATTGTTTCAAGTTTAATCTTTAATTTGCTCATGCACTACCAGAACTATGAACTGTAGTTAGGAGAATGGTTGTATGTAGAAAGATGACAAGTTCCACACACAATCCATTACCCTTTGGAGATACGGTGGACACAATACGAGGGCGCTATTTGGTTTGGGTGAGTCTTTTGCATAAGTTACCCCAATATACCCAAATCAAATAACACCCTTGTATTGTGTCTGCCATATCGCAAAAGGCTTAGAGCAGTTGAGCTATTCACTTTTTCCAAAAGTTTTAAGACTCTGAAATACTGAATGTGCTTTTCACATCTTTTCCCAATCTACAGGTTAAACAACATGGTGACTACACTGTGGAACCAGCCATATGAGGACCAGCTATCCACCAAACAGACCAACACCAGGGAGTTTCTGAGGAATTTATCCAAGATGCTGCAACGGAACATTGGGGAGATGTCTCCCTGTCTGAAGCAACAAAGGTGAGCTACCCGCCAAAGACACGGGATGGTTGTGGGCCAGAATGGAAATGTGATCTTCCTTGACAAAAAAATGTTTCCAGACACAGTTTTCTGGCAAGTGGACTTACATGTACAGCTGCCCTGAAATTTCATTAAAAGTCCAGAAAATGATGCCTCATTTTTCTTGAGAATCAGTTAAAACTCAGCAAAGTTTTAGCCAATTTCTGAAATAAACTTCCTTTCCACACACAAAAGTTCCAAAGATTAAAGGGGGGGGGGAGTTGGTTAAAAAAAATGTTTAAAAACAAAAAACAAAAAAATGAACACAAAACGAAAACTTCACAATTCATAAGCTGCTCGAATGAGACTCGCACCAACAATCTCCTGCTTCCTAGTGCAGATGTCTCAACTGCTTGACCATCAGGCTTGCTGGTGTTGGCTGGCTGGTCCCAATCTGATATACATGTAGCAGGTGCCACAATCAATGAGTTTAATTAATTGTTTACGTAGGGGAGTTGTGAATGTGAATACCTGGTTTTGACCTTCACCAATGTAAATTTGAATGCACTGTATATTCAGTGCTGTCTGAGAGCTTACGAGCAAAGATTCTGCAAGCTTGCTTGGGTGGGATATGAACCCATGACCTCCTGCTTACTAGTGCAGACATCTTAACAACTCGACAGCAGAGCTTACCAAGATTGGTCAGGCAGTTTGAATCTTGTGCATATAATAGCTGTGGTTACCACAAGAAGAAATTCACAAGCCTGTTGGAGTGGGATTCGAACCCACAACCTCGTGTTTAATAGTGCACTCTTCATTTCATTGGCAGGAAGAGCCACAGTGGGATGGCATTCAACCTGGATTTCTTGTTAGATAAACTATACAGCATGTGAATCTTTTGTGGGGTAAATATTCCTGACATTGGAGATGTCTGATTTGTTCCTTTCATTTTCATTGTTTGTTTGCACACTCACAGCCAGTATTAGAGAGTTATCACAACAAGTGTGAGTTTACCATCGGCAAGAGTGTCGATGGCATCGGTGAGTGAAACTGGCATTTATTTTTAGTTATCCAACCTCTTCATTTTTTTGTGTGTATCCGCTTCGTTCACAAGCACCCCCTCGCCTGGATATAAAGTGTGCACACATGTACTTAATGCACCTGTTATGAAAGCTGAACAGAAAGTTCCAGGATTTTTTTCTCAGTTATTCCCCTAATTTTTTTGTCAGGTCTTCATGAAACTTGGCCCTGGATAAATTGTGCAATAGTTTCAGTATCATGTCTTCTTATTTTCATTGACAGAAAACACTGTTGGTTTCCGGCTTGGCGCTTACAAAAGTAAGTATTTCCTCTGAAGTTTCCTTATTGCAAAAGATGTAGATCAGCTTATATGTTTGATTGGATCGGCTGTCGCGGGGGCGTGGCCTATCAGTAGCTAATGCTGATCAATTCCAACCAATCAGAATGCAACACACAGAAAGATTGACAGGTGTACATATAGTGCATTGTCTATTATGTCTGTCAGGAATTAATTATTGAAAAGAAAGAAACAAGCCACAAAAGACTTAAACCCTTGTCATCCCCTTTGCTGACCAATATGTTGGCTTACTTTTGTGGCATGAATATTGCGGGTCTATGTTTGTACTTTCAACATTGACCAGCAAGCTCTTTTACTCAGTAGGGATTTTTCAACAATTACATTTGTACAAGCAAGAATTAGGTTTTAAATACAAAATTCAGGAAAATCACAGTTTGTTTAAATGTTGCTAGTGTACAGTTTTATTATTGTATCACTGATCTTGCTTTTACACGCAAATTTGTTTGTCTTATAAAAAGTATGTGACTTTTGGAACATGGTTTGCCCTGCAATTTGTTTTTTCAAACATTACTAGGTATCAGAAAGACGTAAGAGCTCAAACATCGATTTGTTGATAGTACATTTCTGTATTATTTGTGTTAGAGTTTGAAATTACACAAGGAAATCACAGCTTTAATGAACATATAAAAAGCAGCAATTCCTCGGATACTGTGCAAATTAAGATACATCTTGTATGATGCTAACTTTACAACGACATTCATATTTTACAGCATTGATTTTTCAATTACCCAAATTTGAAGTACCCTTGAGTCCATCTATAAGAAATATTAGAATATTGCTTTGCATTTAAACATCATACAGACGTGGCGCTCATCATGTAATACAACAGACTAGTGGTGCTACACAGATTATGTACAATTATAGAGCATGCAAGTCTCGCCAGTTCACATTCACTTTTCATGTGAAAATCTTGGTACAAAACACTGACTAGTCTAGCCACAGACTCCCGTGTTTGAATTCACCCAATGAAAGGAAGTGGAGGTCCACATTTCTTCAATTTACTATAGTAAGCAACTTTTTTATTTTTTGAATGTGTTGTAAATTGGAATGATTTTTTTCTTGTTCAGAACCCATTTTTTGCCCCTGACTGGATAAACCTTGTAAAATCACCTAGGTTTTTGAGGTCAACTTGCACGCTCTATTGACAGAAGTGGGGAACACATTGCTGACTTTAACTATCAACTACATTTTTTCCAGCTAGTAGCTGTGATGACACCTTTAATACACCAGACTTAAATCCCATACTGTACATTTAAAGCCTACAATGGTCTCGTATATATTATATATCTGTGCTCTGCAGCAAAAAAGTCTATACCCTGGATTTCTCCTTGCTAAAGGATGTTTCAAGATACTTCGAATAAAAAAACTGCACTTTATTTGGTCTTCAAACACAAGATAACCATTCCACCAGCACCTCTGACGTACCAGTGACTGGCGCTGCCATAACGGATCCTTATCACTATCTGACGCAACAGCACTTCACCTCAGAGATCTTCAAGATTGAGATCCAAAACCTCCCAAGACATTTTGGATTTGTGGTGAGTTTGCTCCCTAAATATTGAACCCCCAATAACAATAACCATACAGTTTGTGACTTTTTAGGAGTATGTATGTATTGTGCTCCATGCTTGGGATTTGTCAAGGTTTGTTAATAACAGAATCAAAAGGCTGTAAAATGAATTTCACTAAAACATGAAATATCCTAGCCCTGTGTTTGTATGAAAGTAATGACCACATTTTGTGCACACTTTTTTGCAATGCCCGTGCACATGTTCACAATTGTTTCTAATGTTGCTGTGATGTCGATGTAGGTAATTTACACTTCACAGCTTTGGGATTTTCTGTATAATTTATGAACCTAAAATTGATTGCATTGTACATGTGTAAAGGTTTGTACATGTATTTAAGTATCTCATTGGCTGCATGCTATGTGCTAATGAACGCAGCAGTCACATCAAACTTGATCAAAACTCTTTTGTTATATTTTGTCCCCTCAAACAGCAGTGACACTGAAGTTCCAGCTCATTACATCGCTGTATTGCTCGTGAATACGGAATATTTTAAAGCCTGAAACATCCAAAGACTTGGAATAGAGTTCCTAAAATAAAAACCTATTTACAGTGGGAAAAATTCAGGGTTATCCATATGTTAGTACCATTACTTGTATATTTTCACACTGAAAAAAAGTAACAAACTTGCTCATTTAAAGGAAGGGTAGATCATTTGTCATTTGTGCATTTCTTTTCATTTGAAGCAACAAAAGTGCTCAAAATATAAAAACGGGTGCTTAACAACTAACACGATGAAGTCTTGGCTCTGAGAATGCAGTATCTTCCGAGAAAACTATATTCTAGGATCTCAGGTTCCATTCAAAAGTTGCTGAGTCATGTTTTATATTGCGTCCGAATTCAGCCCCAGGGACACATTCTCATTCAGTCAATTGCAGCTACGTGATGTCATGCACTGAACTGACATATAATAGCAACCTAGTGTGCCTGTGCGTTGTGTCAACGCTTGCGCGCACATATTCATGGATTCACCGAATTTACAAACCAACTACATGAACTAACTTGATGCATCATTGGAAATGGCTTTCTTTCATTATTTCCTTCAAAATGACAGCATGCCAGAAAGAATGATTTCACAGGGAGTTTAGTGCCATTAAAACCAAAAGCCTTTTTACAATAATTTTGTCAGTTACTTTTTGGATAGCTGCAAATGATCTACTCTACCTTTAAACACGAACAAAAGTTTGATTCAAATAATTAAACTATTTAGGATTTGTTAATTTCTGAACCTTTTACATACATACATTGCATGAATACCAGCTGTTCCCTTTACTGATAGTTGGTTGCAATCTGCTCTGGGCGGGCCTGCACATTACTGATGTCATGGTGCGTACATGTATTGGCAATTCGCTGAAGTAAAACACATTTCAACTCCAGCATATTGTGTTGTTAATGTTTCTCGATGTCAAATCTACTTCATTGGCATTCCAATGAAGAAGATGTATGAAACGGCCTTAAATCTGCTCTACACTTTGAACACAGCAAGTTCAAAAGCAGCACTCACTCTACACACTGCTGCCCTTAAAGACAGCTTGCACTTATCAGGTACCAGTGGACATTGTTCTTGACAACTTTCCAAAGATTAAATCCCTTCAGGTTCTGGATGTGCATACTGCTGCCCTTGTGCTGATGGCTCGGTGCCAGTCCGCCCAGGACATTGTTCCTGGGTACTTGCAAGTGACTGCTGGCTCTCTGCTGGTTCTGGATGTTCACACTGTTCTCCTTGCGTGGATGGCTTGCAGTCAGTCAGACTAGAGCATTGTTCCTGATGAGAACTTGCAAGCGCTGGGGTCCCAGCTGGTTCTGCATGTATCTCAACATGCACTTGAACATGCTGCTGACTGTGCATGGATGCCTTGCTGCTGCTTGGCCTGGAACATAGTTCTTGACAGCTGTCCAGTGACTGCTGACTCGCTGTGTGTTGTGCATGCCCTTGGCTTGGTGGCTTGCTGCTGCTTGGCCTGGCAGCATGGTGCTCTTGGTCATTTTCTGCCTGTGGAATCACATGAAGCTTGATCTGCTTCCCTGGTTGCGATGGTCGGCTGGGATTCTGTCTTGTGCAACAACGACAGCACAGTTTCAGGAATGAGAAAGCCTTGACTACAGCTTCACGAAAGTCAGCATTTGTGGCACTGTAGACTACAGAATTAATTGAGCTATTGGTCAGTTGCAAAATTGCAATGCATATAGTCAGAATATGTATTGTCTCTGCAAGTTCCAGACTGCCAACAATCTGAGCAGTTGAAGTAAACTTTGATGCCACTAAAAAATTATGAATTATCATAATTGCAACTGCAGTGTACAGTGAGTTCAGAATGAAAAAAACAGCAGTGTTGATGATAACCATGCAGAGGACCTTGCCTGCTCGCTTGGGACGGTTCGGCAACAGGGCTGATTGCTTGAGTACTTTCAATACTACATGGATGTACAAAGCAAGAGTTGCTATCAAAGAGACAATGTTGATAATGGAACGAATCCCAAAGTAGACTTTATCGGAGACAGCTTCTGTTAATGGTACGAAAATCAGAATCACACCAACAATAATTGTTGGCACCCAGAGTCCTGCTGATATCTTTGCTGCTCGAGATTTAGAGGCCTTTTCTTTGAACGTTATAGGATTGCGCACTGCAGAGAATCTCTCAGCTGCTATGGTAACCACAAAGAAATTAGAGGTAGCAAGGAACGTGCTTTGGAAACTATATATTGCCTTTTGGACCAATAAGATGTTCTCTATAGGTGACAACAGTGCAATTATGAAGCAAGTTATAAGGTAGAGGGAGTCAGCCACAGCCAGATTGGATAAGTAGATGTTGATGATTGTACGCATGGACTTTACTCGAATGACTGTGAAGAGAAAGACAAAGTTTAAGCAGAGGCCGATTGGTGCAATGATTTTAGCACTTAACCTTATTATTTTGTCACTGTTGTCTTGAGTCTTGTAATAGTTCTCAATATGCTTTTGTACTTCAGTTGATAGAGTGGAGCTGTTTTGGTAGCCATCACCCATAGTTCATGCCCAGTGTAGCGTTGATCTCTGTGTGCTACATGTTGTTCAGATGCAGCAAAGAATGTTCTTCTCTATTTCCATATAACTCCAGATTTATACTTACAGGGATTGTAAGACCTTGAGCAAAGTGTCATTGAAACAGAAAGTTTCTTGTTCTTTTCCTTCTTTTTCACTCAACATTTCTGTCCGATTTTAATGCATGTGACTATCTTGTGGTATCAGTTCCTGTAACCAAAGCAGATGCATGTGAGTCAGTTTCACTACTTGCACTGACATGAAATCTGAGAATTAAATTTGTTTCAGTTTTAATTATTGGCTCCAGATTAAACATGCGTATTGTGTACATGTAATTGTTTTTATGCAAGTTGGCCCTTCACAAGGCATAAA